TAGTGCAGTCTTTTATGTGACTTTCAGCTAAAATATGTAGTTAAAAATCACACTAAACACATCCAATAGCATAAAAAGATAGCAACTTTTTTTTTAATTAAAAAAAAACAAATTTAAGTACACAAGTATAGGTATATTTTTAAGTACATGTAATGTAAAATTTACCAAAAAAAAGAATATATAATAAAATATAAAATGTACTATTCTATGTAATATAACAGATGTAATGTAGGGCTGATATATATTATTTTATTTATAATATGTGTGTGTGTGTGTGTGTGTGTGTGTGTGTGTGTGTGTGTGTATTTCTTTTTTATTTCTTTTTATTTAGGGTTTTTTTTTTATATCGGCCATTACATTAATATATCAGGTGAAATTATATGTATATATATATATATATATATATACAGTATATATATATTATGTTATATGTTATGTATTATACAGTATATTTACATAATTTATATTCTATGTATTCTGTTTTTATTTTAATATTGTTGTTTTATTACTGGCCATAAATAAAGGAGCATTAACCTTAAATAATCTCTGTTATTTAAAAAAACATATCGAATGCACTGTGAGTTTTCATAACATCTCTAAAGTTGTTTGTATAATAAAATGGCTTACATTTCAAATGTTAATATGACGTTGTATGTCTATCCAGTCACAGAAAAATGTACACATGCTAAAATCAGACTTTAGGTTTGAATACTGAGATCATGTTGTCATGGTAGCATCCAAACAGCACTGTTTTACCATAGTACTTTGGTTGAAGGTGTGCACCTACTAACTTGTGTATGAACTCATGTGTGCACAAACACAACGACAAAAAAAACAAAACTACCCTACTTAACGTCAAATATGCTCCTCAATTCTGGCTCAGTGCTAATCATCTCTGTCTATGCCAGAATTCACAGTACTGTACTTCAAATATGGAACGTGGCATTTGGCGTCTCATGCATGTTAGCTTGTTTGCTGTTGTCTGGCTGTCACAGTAGGAGCAAGTGTCTTCCCTTTGGAAGAGGAATGACATGTCAGCTCACACTGCGCCGGTGCTGATGGGAGCTTTGGGATTCAGCGTGGGCAGCCCACAGTGAGCACCGCAGCAGGCCGATACTTCCTGCTCTCAGGCATGCTGATGTTTTATTAAGGTTGCGTCCCTCCCCAGTGTTTCATAATTAAAGCATGGCTGAAGACACTGTTCCCTAAAATTCCATGGGTTTATTGTATTTATATGGTTTGCTAATGAAAAATGGCCCGTATTACCGATAGATGTTTTATTTAGTGTTGTGTCTTAGTGTTGTGGATGAAAATAATTTATGTCTCAGTCTCTCTGTAATAATTCAGTGAGAGATTCACACAGGGGTTTGTGTTGTTTGAGATCAGTGTTGCATTTTTATAATTATACAAACTGGTTTATATAAAGGGTGACATATCATGGAAAATAGGATTTTACTTTCTCTTTTGAAATAAGAGACTTTAATGTACTATGCACTCTTTAATACCATAATGCAATGCAAAACTTCCTTCCATCAGGATGATTATGGAAAGTCATGGCACTGACGTCTGAACCAATGAATAGTTGAAAGAAGGTTATAAAGGGTTGGAACAGCATGAGGGTGAGTAAATGATGACAGAATTTAGATTTTTGGATGATCTAATTCTTTAACATACCCGAATGACCGACCACATTTACATATCATAGTAATTCATTATTTAACATTTTTATTATTTAACATTTTACAGTTATTAATTTCCCAAAAAGGTAAGAAAATCATAACAGAGGCCATTTACAGTACATACACTACCAATCAAAAGTTCAATAAGGTCAGTAAGATTTTTTGTAAATGTTTTGAAGTCTCTTATGCTTACCCAGGCTGCAATGATTTAATCAAAAATACAGTAAAAACAGTAATATTGTGAAATACTATTGCAATTTAAAATAATTGTTTTCTATTAATTTTTCCTGTGATGCCAAAGCTGAATTTACAGCAGCCTTCTGTGTCATTCTTCACTGTCACATTATACTTCTGATATGCTGATTTGCTGATCAAGAAACATTTCTTATTATAAAAAATTTAAATCTGTTGTGCTGCTTAATATTTGTGTGTGTGTGTGTGTGTGTGTGTGTGTGTGTGTGTATATATATATATATATATATATATTTAAAAAGTTTTTGCAGAATACAAGTATTAATTTCTTTTAAAAAATGTTTTAAATCAGTCAATCAATCATACTAACTCCAAACCTTTGAGCATTAATGCACAGGGGTCCCAAAGAAGGTCAAAAAATGTTCATGAAAAACTAAATTACTTTGTGTAAAAAAAAAAAAAAGAGCCATCAGTCATGTTAACTGTAGGATATTTAAAGCTCCAAAATGAAGATACGGAGAAATTAGGTTTTCATTATTGTGGCAGATGTGTAAAATAACTGAATAGATCAAAAGAGGTTTAGGAGTTGATATGTTCTTGTTTCAACTGTGCTTTTTTTTTATATTGGTCTATGTGGACTGTTTATTCAACGCCTTTCATAACGATTTTTTAACATGCTTTTTAACATGCTTCTTAACATGTGTCACACATGTCCATTCACACAGAATGATCAGTAGAAGCATCCAGAGAGGAATTATCATCCAGTGCCTTTTACCAGGCTACTAATCAAATTAGTCTCTCGCAGTGCAGTCATGCTTTCTAGACAAAGAGTGTATTTGTGCCTGTGTGAGAGAGAGCGAGGAGCTCGGTACAGGGCTGGTGAGCAGGGAACGGGTAACAGGAGGGCAGGCATATGGCCATGAGGGGTTAACGTGAGAGCTGGAGCTCGGGCAGATTTCTCACGTCACCCCCCCCGCCATCTGCCACCGAACCAGACCAGAACCAAAAGAGCAGGCAAAGATTGACCCGATCTACTGTAGACCGCTCTCAGTCTCTGGCCACATTAGAATAAGAAAGAGTGTTTGTTTGAGAGAGAAAAAACTAACAAGACAGGCTTACAATCTTGTGAATTAATGGCTCTGTTCCAAAGTCTAGTAAGCTGACTATTTAAGGCATCATAAGTGTGCTCCTGCTGTTCCAAAAGGTAGGAAGGATGACTGTGCTGCCTTCTAAGAAAATGTCTTTTGGACAGATTCTATGGCAGAATGTATGATTCACAAAGGATGCAATGCCAAAATGCATTGTGACATTCTATCCAAGATGGTCGACAAAGTGTAAGAAATGTTGATTTATAAATATATTTATTCATTGCAAAAAGTATGGCTAAAAATAGTAAATGTAATAAAACAGTAGTCTATTTTACATAATATGTGTGAGTGCTATGTATTTTTGTGCTTATTAGAGTTTCACAAACTCTAACAGAAGAAAATCTACATCAAAAATTTGTATGTACTTGAAACAGGAACGACCAAAATCTCCAAAACTGTTTTTCAAGATTAAGTTTCAGTAGTATATGAGCATTTCAGAGTAGTGAAATGTAAGGTAACACTGTCATATTTTATAGTTGATTTGTTGTTGATGCTATTGAAATGTAGAACACACATTTATTGGATAAATTAATTGATGTTATTTAGATTAATTTGATTATTCTTTGCCATACCTTTTCTTTTCTTTATTAAGTTTTTTTAAGTATATTTTTATATTTGATATATTTTTGCATTTTATATTTAAACTACTTTAGCTCAAAAATCTAATCAAATAAAAATGTAACTCTTCAGGTTGGTCCGGTTAATGTGCATGTAGATTCTAGAGTATGCAAACAGCCAAAATTATTGGCTCATTCAAATGAAAGGCGGGGCTTCTATTCCATCACGCACTATATTGAGCCTTACCATTTCTCCCATTCAGTTTTCCACGAATGGTCTGTCTCCTCACACTGTCTCTCCTGTGTGTTTGACTTAAAGCAACTGTATGTAAGATTTTATTTTATTTTTTCAATTACCATCATTCTGATGGTTAACTGACTTTTGTTTCTTTCCCACACTCTCCCCCAAACGTCTGTTCTGGGAGAATGTGAGATTGGTGAGTGGGTATGAAATTTCGTGAAAAGGGTGAATTATTACAGCAGCAACAAATGCACATGTGCAGCTATCCACTGTAATCATGACAGTGAATTCCACTCACTTAACTGTAGACAAAACTGCATACACTTGCTTTAAGGAGTGCTGGTTGTATGACCCATTAGGTTTCTGTCTGTTTAGATCAATCAGTCACTTAGGAGCTTCTATTTCAGTTAGCATGCTGTCTTAGAAGGCAGGCGCCTATGTAGGCTGTATAAGTTCACTTGGTTTTGGAACAGAGCCAGTTCCTTGCAGTAATTATGAATAATTTCACCTTTATTACGCACAGTTGCTCACTAAATCTTCAAGATGCTTCTCCCCATGCACTGCCTCATACACTTGAGCATGAAGAT